ATGCTCCCAGGCTGTGGTCAGTTTAAAACCGTGTGTCCTGTATGGCCAGCTGTGGCCGTCTCCCTGGGACTCCTGCTGTTGTCCCTGTGCATTCTTTGGCATCTGCTGCTTTCCCTTAGTCTCCTCTCTTTTCTCTTTTTGTCTTCTGTTTCTCTTGAGGGCTTTTTGTTTTTGGTACTGGATACTGAACCCAGGGGCACTTAGCCCCTGAGCCACATCCTCAACCCTTTTTATTTTTTAGTTAGAAACAGGGTCTTGCTAAGTTGCTTAGGGCCTTGCTAAATTGCTGAGGCTGGCCTTTGAACTCACTATCCTCCTGCCTCAGCCTCCTCAGTGGTTGGGATTACAGGAGTGTGCCACTGTGCCTGGCCTTAATGGGTCTTTTAAAGTGTCTATAAAGCATATGTTTCTGAAGGCTTTTTGGCTTATTTTGAAGAGGCTCCTATTTTGGCCTGTTCTGTGGGGTTCTCTGGGGAGCTTCATGGTCTGTAGGGTTGCCGTTCTGTCCTTGTTCTTGCTTTTTTTTTTTTTTGTTTGTACCAGGGATTGAACATAGGTTGCTTAACTGCTGAGCCTCATCTCCAGCCCTTTTTGTATTTTTTTTTTTTTTTAAAGACGAGGTCTTGCTGAGTAACTTAGGTCTTTGCTTATTAAAAATTTTTATGTATATTTTTTAGTTGTAGATGAACACAATACCTTTATTTTATTTGTTTTATATGTAGTGCTGGGGATTGAACCCAGTGCCTCACACATGGTAGGCAAGTGCTCTACCACTGAGCCACAATCCTGGCCCGGGCCCTGCTAATTTGCCAAGACTGGCTTTAAACTTGTGATCCTCTTGCTTCAGCCTCCTGAGCGACTGGGGTTATAGGTGCACGCTACCACGCCTGGTTGTTCTTGCTTTTTGTACAACCCTCTTTGTGTGGAATCAGACCTTGGTACTTTCCTACTGCTTATTTGTTTTTGTGGTGCTGGAGAGGGAACCCAGGGCCTTGCTTGTGTCAGACAGTATTAGATCAGGATGCAAGAAAAGACCACTGACTCCAATTAAAATCAAATTAAAGCAAGCTTATTATTTCGACCGTCCAGGCTGCCTCTCTCAACAAAAACTGCGGGAACAAGACAGCACTGCAGCTTTCTTGCAGCCCAGTTTTATAACCCAGAAAGTTACACACGGGGAGGGGGGTGTTAGAGATAACAAAACTCTGACGAGCATAACACAAAGGCTGGTTTACATTTTTGCTGGCCCTGACATCAGAATTTATGAAGGTCATTAGAGCCTCAGAGGGTTGTTATCTGGCCAGGGAAGGCCAAGATTTATGAGGTGTCACTAAAGTTTCAGAGAGGGCTGCTATCTGGTCAGAGAGAGCCAGGCATGGGTGAGTTTAAGGCACGGGCAGGCATTCCAAGCAGGTTCAGAATTTGCAGTAATTTATAATAAAGCCGAAATTAGCTTTTCATGGCTTTGTGGCGAGATGGTTCCCAATTTTAATAGGGAATCAGGCTGGGTCTATCCATAGGTGCTCTTACACCGAGCCACACCCCAGCCCCTATGATTGCTTATTTGTATGTGAAATTATCTTTCCTGAATTGCCAGAGGGGCATGGTCCTGAGTGGCTTGTCTACCCCAGAGCTCTCTCTGCGTTCTTTTTGTTGGCTGCTTTTGGGGTCTCTGTCCCTGTCAGCCTGTGTTTGCTGCACCACTGCTTTCCCTAGATTTGTTCCTGTCCAGCTCAGGGTGGACACCAGTCCTGTGGTCTCTGCTCTGTGGAGGCCTAGGGTCACTCCAGCTGCCATCCTCATATTGCTCCCAACCCTCTGTGGGACATCTGCATCTGCAGGAGTGCTCCTGGCTCAGTCCTGGCATATACCCTCTTCTTTTCTTCCATCTCTTGCTCAGACAAGAGGTCTTTTGGCTTTTGGTAGTTTCCTGGTGGGGGAACTGTGGCTCAGAGAGGTCACAGAGTCCTCAGAAGCTGCTCTTGGAGTCCAAGCTGGGAATCACTAAACGCCCTCTGTTGTCACTGAACTGCTTCTCTCAGGGAAGTAGGTGTGTGTGCATGTGCACACATTTGTTGTACAGGCACACATATGTGTCTGTATATGTGTGTACATGTGTATTGCGTGTGTTTGCACGTGTGTTTGCATGTGTGTGTGCATTTGTGCCTGTGCATGTATATGCACATGTGTGTATATGTGTGTGCGTGTCTGTATGCATATGTGCATGTGTGCATGGATCTGCTTGTGTAGGTGTACGTCTATGCACACATGCATGTTTGCACGTCTGCATGAGTATGTATATACGTGCAGGAGTGTATAAGTGTCTGTGTGTATGCACATGTCCATATGCGTGTGTGTGCATGTATTGTGAACTGACTGTACTATAGTGTCTTGCCTTTGTTTATGTTCCTTGACAGAGCACAGCTTTATTTCTGTCTCTCTTGTATCTTTTAGTTTTTTTTTTTGTGATTCATCTATCTTGGCTAAGACTGTAGCTTCCCTCTGAAAGCTGTGTCAGCTCCCTGTCGTTTCCTCTGCCATAGCTCTCTTGTTTGCACTGTCTACTTCAGATCAGAGCTCTGGTTCTGGATGGCAAGTCTTCCTGGAGCATGGGTAGCAGATAGTGCCATCCATGGCAGAAAGCAGAGCAAGTCCCTTTTGGAGATAGATTAACATAGTTGTGTGTATACAATATGCAGGCACACACAGACGTATACCCAAGACACATGAGGCTCCCATGTGACACTTGGAGCATGCTCAGTCCATGCTGTGTACAGTTGCCTGTGGTCTCTGGGTGTGTAGCAGAAGCTTTCATGGCTCTTTCAGCCAAATCCAAAAAATATTTTCTACATTAGCAAAGGTAGGGCTTTAAGAAAAAATGTCAGAAAAATAATTTGCCCTTAGTCTGCCATGCCAGGCAGCTCACCCAGCACTGGTGCTAGCACTATGTTGGCTGCTCTGTGTCCTGGTGGAGCCTTCAGCTGCTCAGCTGAGACACACAAGCTCTGGCCCTGAGACTTAGGGCCCATCCAGGGTGTCCTCTGCCTAGCTGCACCAGAACCTGCTCCCTGTTTGACTCCTTGTGCACCTGGAGAGCTTGCTCGTGTAGGATTGGCTCCAGAAGTGCTACTTTTTTTTTTCTTTTTCTTTTTTACATACTAGGAATTGAACTCAGGGGCACTTAACCACTGTTAGAAATACTGAGGTACTTCAAGAAATCAAACACATGCTCAAAAGTGGTTTGGCAAGGCAAACAATTTACTTCTGGCACCAAGGGTTGCTACTGAACCTGGCTAGCAAGTGTGCGTGGGCAGACAGTCTGCCTTTATGTGTCTAACTCAATGCAGAACTGCCTTCACTCTGATTAGAGGAACTTGGAGTTATAATCTATGTGATTGGCTAATTTTAGAATTAGGGTGGACAAAAGGGAAGCTCTACAGTTGGATCCAGTTAAGGCTGAATACTAGATTTTGAAAATGAACCACTACACTTTCTGTTTGTCACACCACTGAGCTACATCCCCATCCCTTTTTATTTTTTGAGACAGGGTCTCACTAAGTTGCTTAGGACCTCACCTAAATTGCTGAGGCTGCCCTTGAACTTGCAATCCTCCTGTCTCAGCCTCCTGAGTTGTTGGAATTACAGGTGTGGGCCACTGTATCTTGCTTCACTGATGCCTTCTGAGGGCAATTTATAGTTAAATAGACTTGTTTTTACATAAAAGCTTGTTTGTCCAATATGGTAAGGTGTGTGGCCCCTGAAGATTCAACTGCATGGTCTGGGCCTCGGTGTTCCCCTCAGTCCTGAGAGTTAAAGAGTTAAATGACAGGTAGTAATAGGTGTAGTTGCCACACTTAACAATTCCAGCAACTTTGGAGGCTGAGGCTGGAAGATCACAAGTTCAAGGCCAGTCTGGGCAACTTAGTGAGAGCCTGCTTCCTAAGCTAGCAAACACACACACAAACAGGGACAACAGGTGGTGCTGTCTTTCTGTGCAGCACAGGCCTGCACATGGATGTGTGTGGAAGGATGGCCACTTTAGCAGCTGATGTAGCATGTAGCAAAAGCTTACTTGTCCCATGGTTACTGTTCCTGTCTCTTTTGTATGATGGGCAGCTCCCAAATTCCATTGGATATTATGAAAGTGGACTTATCAGGTTTTGTTTTTTGATGAGTTTCATTCTTAATTTGGACAATTGGAAACCTATGGTAGTTAAACTATACTTTTATAACTTCTGTCTGTAGAAATCAGTTTCAGGAGTGAACTGTTTATTAGCTGATAAATAACTAAATGTGGCTGGGTGCAGTGATGCATGCCTGTGGGAGGCTGAAGCAGGGGGATCCCAAATTTGAGACCAGCCTGGGCAACTTAGCGAGACCCTGTCTCAAAATAAAAAAGGCTGGAGGGGCTGGAGTTGTGGCTCAGTGGCAGAGTGCTTGCCTCGCACATGTGAGGCACTGGGTTCAATCCTCAGCACTACATAAAAATGAATAAACAAAATAAAGATATTGCATCCGTCTATAACTAAAAATATTATGGAAAAAAAAGGCTGGAGATGTAGCTCAGTTGTAGAGCACCCCTAGCGTCATTCTCTAGTACCAAAAAGATCAGAAACTGAACTGATTGTGGGAAATGTTCAGCGGTTGTTCCGAGTGCCTTCAGTCCTGTAACTGGACACAACACAGGATGAAAACACGGCTGTGCTGCCCACCCGGTGAGGCCCTGCTTCCCCGCAGCCATTGGGTTTTGGTCCTGCTGCCCCTGCCCCTGCCCCTGCCCGGCCTTGGCTGGCCCTGTCAGAGAGTGGGGGCCTGGGCTCTGCCGCTGGCCTGCGGTGGGAGGCAGCCAGCTTCTTCCCGTGGTATCTTCCTGGCTTCTGGCAGCTCCAGGGCCTGTTCCTGCTGGCAGCCCCAGTGCCTTTGATTCTCAGTGAGGTTCTTACAGGGAATGCTGTTTCTTAGAAGTCAGTTAAAGGATGCCTTTGTGTTCTTTTTTATAGGCAAAAGTAAAGAAGCAGAAATAAAGAGGATAAACAAGGAGCTGGCAAATATTAGATCAAAATTTAAAGGTAAGTGTTGAACCTTTTCCAGGACATACTCCCTTGTAGACGTTTACATAGTAAGGACCTAATCTTTTTTTTTTTATTTTTTCAAACCTTGAGGATTGAATCAAGGGTGCTTTAATTACTGAACTACATCATACATCACTAACCCCCCCCATTTTTTTTTTTAAATTTTTCCTCCTGCCTCAGCCTCCTGAGTAGCATAGGTTACAGACACGTGCCATGATGCCCATCGAACTCAATCTTTTAATGTCTTTTATTTTCCACTCTAAGCCAAAGTTGATTCTGGGTCAGTACAGTGACTGTTGCAGTCAGCCAGAAGAAGACAATGCTGTGAAGTCAAGTCATGTCTACTTTCTAGTGGGAACAGCATGTGTCGAATCGTTTGGTGGCCTGGGCCTTCCTGGTGTGGGTCTTTTCTTTCCTTGGAATGACACTGACCTAGTATCCCATGTGTGCTGCTTGGCACCGTGCTGGGCCGTGTCAGCTGCGCCCTGAGTCGAGGGCTCTGTGTGTGGAGATGTAAGGGACGCTTGGCACATCCTGAGCTGAAGTGTTCCTGCTGCATCTTGGTGCCGGCAGGGTGGCGCCAACCCTCTCAGGTGGCTACCTGTTAGCCAGGCGTCTAGTGCCTGAGAATTGCACAGTATAAATTTGGCTTTCAGTCCATAGGGCATTTGTGAAAGCCCAGCTAATCCCCGAAGCTGTAGCTTTTTGGTTGATTTTCACAGGTTTGAGACCTGGCTCATGTCTCTGAGCACACATGTTAGCCGCAAAAGTGGCTGCAGTTGCCCAGAAGCAACAAGTGGAGGGGCTGGGGCTGGACCGTGAGAGCTGCAAGGGCTGCAGGACTCCTGGGATGCCTTAGGACAGGTGGTTTATGGGGCCTCGGGAATGGGTCTCCTGTATGGGCAGTTGATGGAGACATGTGATGTTGCAGTCATTAGAATTGGTGTATTTGCTGTTGAGCTTTGGGAAGGTATTAGGTTTTCACATTTTTTTTTTTTTTTTTAAAAGAGAGAGTGAGAGAGAGAGGGGGACAGAGAGAGAGAGAGAATTTTAACATTTATTTATTTTCTTAGTTCTCGGCGGACACAACATCTTTTTTTGTTGGTATGTGGTGCTGCTGAGGATCGAACCTGGGCCGCACGCATGCTAGGTGAGCATGCTACCGCTTGAGCCACATCCCCAGCCCCAGGTTTTCACATTTTAAAACCAGGCCCAGGATTCTCTAGAAGGCCTGTGAAACTTCTGAAGTTGGATGAGCATGACTTATTCATGTATACCTTTGAGGGTCTGTAACTCTGTCTCCTTGTCCTGAGAGGGAAGATCATGTGACCACTCTGGCTACCCTTGCTTCTGCTCATATGCTGCCTCCAGGGTGCTATCTCCCTTTCACATCTCATTCCACATTTCTTTTGTGGAATGGAGAAGCTAGTTGTCCATGTTGGGTTCTCAGGATGCAGACCTGCGGTGGGGTTGCACTGCCAGGGATTTACTGGAGAGGAACACCAGGGTAGGAAGCCAGGCTTGAGGGTGACCAGGCGTGTGGCTCATAGGTGCCAGAGCCAGGGCAGAAACTGCAGACCCTGACTGCACAGCCATCTCCACTTTGTATGGGCACATGTCTGAGCCTAGTGTGGGTTGTTTCACAGGCAAGCACCAAGCACATGGTGACCGCTGTGTTGTTCTGAAGGTTCAGGGCTATCTGGGTGGTGTAGGTGAGATTCTATAAGAGGTTTTGGAGTTACAGTCCCATTTGTCGACAGTTAGCTCCTTGAGACCGAGGACTATCTATTCAGCTCACTCACTGTGTAAGTGCTCTGGGACCCAGGGGACTTCACGGCTGTGTCAAGCTAAGCCGTCCTGGCTGGGAGGGACAAAACTCTTATGTACTGGCCAGTTGGCATCTCTGAGCATGCATCTGCCTTGGACAGGAGCATCAGTTTTCACAAAAGATCTGTGTTCATCCTTGGGGAGGTGTAGCCTGCGTGTCCCTTCCTGTCAGGGTGGCCTACTGACTTTATCTGCACTGCCTGAAGGGCTCTCAGTGCTGGTCATTTTATAGGTCTGAGTTTTCTAGTGGCCTCATTGAAGAAAATCAAAAGAAGCAGATGAAATTAGCCTGAAGAATGTGATTTATTGAAAATAAATTAGAGTATAAACAGCAAAAAAAAGTAGGAAAAATAGAAGTCATGCAGTGAATTAGTAAGACAATCATGCTGTTTTTCCAAATTAAAAACAAACACAAACAAACAAACAAACAAACCATGTTTTATTTAGCCCTGGCCCTGACTGCACAGCCGTCTCCACTTTGTATGGGCACATATCTGAGCCTAGTGTGGATTGTTTGACAACCCAGGACACTTGAAATACCATTGCACCATGTAATGAGAGAAATTATGAAGGTGTTTCACACTTTTCCCCAGCAACTCTGTGAAGCCCCATGTGGATAGCCACATTTCCGTGCTTGTGGCACAAGTGGTTGGGGCCCCTGTTCTGGACACTGCAGACTGAGGCCAGTCTTCTACTGGAAACAGTTTGGAAAAGCAGACTCTGTATTTCAAGAAATCCTAAGGCATTAAACAGAAGTCAGGGACCCTCACAAGGGGGGACAGCAGCTGTGCCCCAAAGTTCACTGACCCCAGAGAAACTGCCACCACACAGAACCAGCTCTGGTGACTGCTCACCTGGAGTAGCATTTACCTTCAGGTTGATCTTGCCCTGGGAGACAGATGCTTTGGAGGTCACCAGGTGGGAGTTGCTGCCACTGCTTGCAGTGCAGGCCAGGGAGGCGGTGGACTCCAGTGGGCTTGACAGCTTCTCATGCAGAGAATGATCTGGTGAAGGTGTCCGACCTGGTCTAGGGGACCTAAAGCCCCGCCCACCTCAAGCTGCAGTTGCCCTTGGCCAATCTGGCCTTTCCCAGGCCCACGCTGGATGCCTCATGGCTTGAGCTCCTCTTGGTCTCACACCTTGAACCTAGGTCAAGGCGAGGAGTAGCAGTCCTCTCTGCAGGAAGGCACATCGCCATGAGAACACCCCGTGGGGTGGGGTCAGAGACGTGGTGCTCCGTGAGAAATGCTGTGAGCAGGCACCTGCGCTGCACTGCATGGGAATGCAGCCAGAGGGTGTTCAATCGAGGCTTGTCACTGTCTTAGGAAGTACAAGGCACATGGGAAACTCAGCAAGTGAAAAGTGACAGCAAATCTTGAAATAAGACCTGATGAATATTCTAGAATTGAAACTCGCTGTAACCAAAATGAAGGACTCAGTGGACAGAACTGGCAACTGACGCAGCTGAAGAGAGAGCTGGTGCTGTGGGAGTAGATCAGAAGGCTGTCTGGGCAGATGGAGAGGGAGCCAGCGGCTGGCTAGCAGAGCCTGTGGGAAGTGCAGGGCTGAGAACTGGTAAGAGTTCACAAAACAAACAGCATAAATAAAAGGACACATGCAACTGGACCATGAGTGTGCTGAGGGGAGAGCCAAGATAGGGCCTTGGAAGGGGTGCAGGGCTGTCCCCACAGGAGCAGCACCTGTGCCTGGCAGCTGGCCTCCAGCAGTAAAGATCAGGCAGGAGATATCAGTGACCATCCCCAGGTGCCAAGGAGGTGGTAGCCAGATCCAGAGGCCACCTCTGCTAAGGTGACTTGCTGAGGGTGAAGCTCATGAAGACTTTTCAAGGCAAACAGAATTTCCCAGCAGAAGGCCTGTGTGAAGGGAAGTTGTTCAGCATCATGAGCATGAAAAAGGAAGCTGAGGATGCTCAGGTGAATAGTGGTCCCTGTGTGGTGATGTTCTGTGGAGCTTGAAATACACGTGGCTGTATGACACCTGGTGGCATGAGAAACACACCTTGTCCAAACCCAAAGGATGGGCCAAGGTACAGCTGTTCAGAGGTGAGCTCGGGATAGTCTTGGGAGAGCAGGTGTCTGCGGAGCAGGCCCATACAGCAGCACAGCCAGCATCATCCCCCAGGAGCAAGGTCCCTCCCCTGGCTCCTCATTGGCTTGGTTCTCTGGGGTGCACAGGCTTAGGTTTTAGTGTCTCCTATTGTGCTATTCAAAGAAATAAACCCTAGGTTGTCCTTACCTCCCTTTGTTTACTTGTGGTGGGAAAGTCCCCTGGGTTGAGTGCCTTTTGGCACATACACAGTTTATCTCTGTTGGTCAGGTTAGGCCCCTTCTGTGTCTCACCTCCTGTCTGTCAAGGGACTGTGAATTCTTAACCACTGAGCCACATTCCCGGCCCTTTTTATTTTTTTGATACAGGGTATTGCCAAGGTGCTTAGGGACTCACTAAATTGCTGAGGCTGGCCTTGGACTTGAGATCCTCCTGCCTAGCTTCTCAAGCTGCTGGGATTACAGGTGTGTGCCACCATGCCTGACTGGGGCTATGAGTTTTTACACTCTGGTATTACCTGCTTATAACTTTCCACTCTGCTCTCCCCTCCAGCCGCCTTTCTTATATCTCAATTTTAAACTAAAGGCTAAATACCTTGTTCTGAAAATGGACTACTGGACTTTCTGTTTCTCATAATAACACACAGACTAAAGGAGGATAACACTTGAGTAGTCCCCTGGTCAGTAGAGAACTAAATCTGTAATCTTGAGGTTTGCTATCCAGAAAGCCACGTGTGCCGTGGTACCTGCCGGTAGCCTCAGCCCTTGGGAGGACGAGGCAGAAAGATCCCTTGAGTCTAGCAATCAGACACCAGCCTGGGCAACATAGTCCCCCAACCCCAAAACAGAAGCAATCCCAGACAGCCTGTGCTGGGATGGGCCACAGGTGGGTGATATTGTCACGTTAATTTCATAATCAACTTTTTATGGTAAAAGTACTTCATTATTATTTTTTGCTTAAAAGACTCTTAATTTGATTTTTCATTCTATTAAAGATGACAGATTGTCTAATGATACTTTATTACTGTACTTAAAATTTTTAAAAATTGTGATACGATTCATATAATTTAAAATTTACCATTTAGGGGCTGAGGATGACACAGG